AAGTGTTCATTAATGAACAGAGCTCTGAGGAGACAGGTGTTTGCTGAAGGTTGATGCCTATTTTCTCCCAGTTCATAATAGGCAAGATGATAAATTATAAGTGAGGACAGCTTTGAGGCAGAAGAAACTAGTGGGTGTGAGTGTAGAAAATTAGCAGGTCATGCAGATTTTCATTTAAGTACTAAGTTCTTCAAACTAGTTATAAATAAAACAATAACTCAAATGATCGATCCCAAGACTATCAAAACAATATGCTAACCCCAGTAAGATGTCATCTGTGATTGATGAAGATTCTTATCTTCCTAAGAGAACTGTTTTTCTCTTTCCAGGTTTTGCTGGCCACTTTAGTGTGATCACACAAGTCAAAGGGCAAATCTATGTATTAGTGGACCGCTACATCACCTGTCATGAATCAGTGTTTCAAACTTACTTAGTACAGACGAGATTCCAAGTCGTGGTACATGAATCCCTTTAACCAGTGTTAGTGTAGTTCTTTGGGGGAACATCATTCTAGCTTTGTTGTAAAGTGAAGCTCTATTGGCTGGAGTCTCTGGAATGCAAAGAACAGAGGCCACAAGTGAAATAGATGTGTGCAGCAATTGTGAAAAGATAAAGTTGTAAGTAGTAAGAAATGAAGACAGTACATTTCAAGTTAACGAACCTTGTTCAAAGGTCAAGGAGCTCTATCAACATCCAGAAAAATTTTATTCTAGCAGTACAATTTCACATTTTCATAAAAGAATTCCTCCACAAACTCCTGATTATCCCCAAATGGGACTCTTGCCTTGCAGAATACTCAGAGGTTTCAAAATCATGCCCACCCACAAATTGTAAATACCTAGCAGAATTTTGAAATTGCCTTTCTCTAGCCACTCTCAGAACTCTTCCTGGCTATTAGGGGAAAACACAGCTTGAAAGTCACGTGGGTGAAGCAGTAGTGTAAAATGAACATAGCACAAAAAAGACATATATATATATTATCCAAATTAAAGGCCCATGGCATGTACATAAAAAGAAAAACCAGAGTTCACCATAGATGTAAAATTTGACTGCATCATCATGTTTTTTTGACTCAACATCAAACTTTTTTCCTGGGTAACATGCCAGGGCACACTTATCTCAAATCAGGTATAGATTCCAATGCAATCTTGAAGTTCTTGTGGTAGCTGCCACACTGATCTTGCTTTTATGTCAGAGAGATTACCTATCTATAAGAAGTGATTGACCAAGGACTAAACACATGTTTCCCCCAATACCATACAAATATTCTATCGTTAAAGGAAAATTGTCCCAGAATTCTTTCACCAATAATATTTACTCTGCTGTCTCTTATTCAATAACTCCACTTTTCCCTAAGGAATTAAGCTGCAGAATCTTCCACTGGCAAAGCTCAAGAGATACTTAAAAACTCAAGTAAAAACTGAAAAGTTAGGTAATTTGGACACATAGCAACATGAATTTTAAAAAAAATACCATTAAGTAAAAAAAAAAATAGGAATAGAAGAAGGTGGAGGAAAGAAGAAGGGGAAAAGTTAAGGAATAAGAACAACACAAAAGAGAATGATATTTAAAGGTCATTGCCTTTTCTGTAAATTAAACACACACATACAACCACCAGCAATTCCTATTTTATAAGATTGCCAAATGATTTTTATATGTGTAGCACATAGCATACACATGCACAAAAAAAGTCAGATGAATGAATGGCTTTACATTATCCACTAAGAACAAGAACACACAAAAACAGACACAAGTCAAACAGAGCAAACAACATGAAGATGGAAAAAGTGTAATTTCTTTCTTTAATGTCAATAATGATAGAGCAAGGCAAAACAAATTAAAATAGATATAATGGAGTTCATCCTACAGTATCACTTGGGTACAGAACTAAGACATAAGTCTTATCCAACTGTTCTCAGCCAGCATACCCACTCTCCATTCCTGACCTCAGAGCTTGAACAGTTAC